GGTGAGCTGGCAGGAGTTGCTGGAAACTGGGTCAGTCCACTCGAAAGTGAAGATAGGCTGGCTAGCTGGGGCCAGGGCACACTGAAAAAGGCATCTTTTAAATCTAGCACAGTACACACTTGGCATTCGGGAGACAGCAGACTCAGGAGGGTGTATGGGTTGGGGACAGTAGGATGCAGTTACCACTCATCGGTTAATTTCTGTCAAGTCCTGAACTGGCCTATAATCTGATGTACCAGGTCTCTGTCCCAGCAGGAATGGGGTTTTCCGTGGAGACTGGTAGGAAGTTAATGTCCCAAAGTCCATCAACCTCTTAATGTGAGGGGCTCTCCCCTGTCTGGCCTTTTGAGAGGTGGGTTATTTTCGAACTCACACAGGCGTGGCTGCCAACAAGAGCTCGACTATCACTGGAGCGTGGTGGGCAGCCAAGCCCAGTGGATTAGTTTCAGCCCACACCTTCAGGAATTCCATCTGAAGTCTGTCCAATAAGCTCCTGGGGCTTATTTCTTCTGGGTTTTCTTCCCCCAAGAGGAGATACCCCTTGGACAGGGTGGTGGTCAAAGATAGTTGGTGTGAAGGGAGAGACAGCTGAGCCTCTGTTGCAGTGACAGAGACGGTGGCTTTTAGCTTATGAAGGAGGTCTCACCTCAGCAAGGGGAATGGGAAATTCAGTATTGCCAGAGAAGAGTGAGTCCTTTGTTTAGGTCCCAGGCTCACCGTTCGCTCACTCGTGCCTGGGCAGTTTTGCACTCTTCCTGCAGTTCCTAGATACGAATGTTTGTGACGAAAGCTTTCCCAGGGGAGTTTTTAACACTGACCTCTTGGCGCCAGTGTCCATCAGGAAATGGACTCGTTGGTCCCCTACTCCAGCATTTGCCATGGGCTCCCAGGGGCCAAGAGAGAAGGAGCCCTGGCCTCCTCAGTCTGAATCTTCCTTTCCACCAGATGTGGGAAGAAGTAGTGCCTTGGCGCAGGGCCTGTGGGATCCTTCATCTTCCCAGTGCCCTTCCTCCTTCCAAAGGCACACGGATTTCTGCCCGACAGCAGATGTCCTCCTGGCTGTCTAGGCACCTGCCCTTTGGGCTTCCCAGGATTAGGTCCCGTGGGGTCCCCTCTGATGGCTGCTGCCAAGATCTTTGCTTGTTTCTTTGCTGACCTTTCAGCCACGGCTGTGACCAATGTTTGTTTTTCTGAATCCCTATTGTCAAACACCTTTTGAGCTACTTCTAATAGCTGAGATGTGTTCATTCCTGGGAATCCCTCCAATGTTTGTTATCTTCTCCTAATATCAGATGCAAACTGAATAACATAAGACAAATTTATAGCTGTATTGTTCTCTGGAGCAGAGGGTTTGAACATGGTGTAAACCCAGAAGGCCTTTCTGAGTCTCCCCAGAAATGCAGCAGGGGACTCTTTTGGTTCCTGCATTACTTCAGTGGCTTTAGACAGATTTATAGGTTTCTCAACTGCTGCTTAAGTCCAAATCCACAAGTTCTGGGGAAAGGCGAGCAAAGACTGCACACCCCACCACCAAAGAATTTGGATCCCACTCAGGCTGCTCCAAAGGGAAACCTTACTTCAGCAATTTGTGGGCCTCCTCCTCTGAATGGTTCCCATTGAAAGCTTTCTAGCTTCAAACCTAATCCTGCCCCACTCCTCAGGGGTGAGCAGGGTCAATAACAACTGTTGACAGTCCTCCCAGGTTGATAGTCCTGAATAGTTGATAGTTGGTGAATCCAAAAGATTGACAATTGGAGAAATGAGAATCTGGGGCTTCTGTGAGAATGGTGGATTATAGGTTTTCCAGTTGTAGAGGTTAGAAGTGGAAAACAGAACATGTACCAGGAATGGGCAGGTTCCTGGCTCTGCTGGGCCTTTCTCAAAGGCAAGAAGGCACAAGGGAGTTTCACACATACTAGGTGAGGTACACAACATCCTGCAACTGCAGCAAGTTTACTGCCAAGCAGGACATGGGTGTTTGGGGTGCTTTGTTCAAGCAAAAGCACTTTATTCAAGCACAGGTACAAAATGGTACTGAGACACAAGATGGAGTTGGGTTGGCTATCACACAGCTTGGACTCTGGTTTTATTTCCCTTTCTGTCCTTTGCTGTCTAATTTCTTCACCCATTTTAGTAAGATTTCCTTTCTAAACCAGGTGTGATGGCCACACCTATAATCCCAGCACTCGGGAGGCTGAGGCAGGAGGATCACTGTGAGTTCGAGACCAGCCCGGGCTACATAGTGAGTTCCAGGTCAGTCTCAACTACATAGCGAGACCCTGTCTCAAAAAAAAATTTTTTTTTTTCCTTTCTGGAAATAACAACTATTCTTCAGATTTACTAACATCATAGATTATACCTATCCATTGCAGACAACTTGGCTCAAGTTCACATCTCCAAACGTATGAGCAAAAGCTCTTCTTGGGCTCCATCATTTAAATAAATTACAGAATCAACTACTTCTCCCAAGAGGAATGAGTTTCCGATTGACTATCCATTTTTGTATATTACCATTTTAACTTAAAATAACTTCAGAGTTTTATAAACCTTGCATTTTAGAAGGTTAGAAGCATTTAACACATGCTACCCCATACTCTCATGCATCAGATAGATAAAGATCCAAACATCTTATAGTACTTTTTTCTGGGTATTCTTCACATTTTATATTTCCAGGCAGAAATTTCTGTGTAAAAACTCAGAACTCTAGATCTTGTTGCAAACCTGGAAGGTCTGGCAACACTGGACATGGAGTTCATCTGGCGAGGGGAGTTGGAGCTGAGTGACCACTGTCCCCAGCGGACGCCTCAGAGCTCCCCAGTGTCTCTGAGAGAGGGTGAGCTTCCTTGTCCTTTATCATTTTACGGCTTGCCCTGCCCATTCACTTCTGTAAGCTGCCTGGCCCCTGTAGGTATTTGAGTTTGCGATCTCTGCCTAGAATAGTTTGTACATCCAGACGGAACTAAACTTTGTCAGGGAAGTCCAGTAGAGTGGTTTCTTGCCTAGTCTGGTACATATTCAGAATCAAAGTGCTGGTGCACATTGTAGAGAATGGAAAAGCGGATGTTACCAGAACCCTTGCAGTTGGTACTGGTCTCCTGTAAACCTCTACAACACAAAGCAAATTAAAGAATAAAGACAGGAAATGAGACTTGAGAAAAAGCTGAGCTTGGGCCCAGTAAGTGCTGCTCTGCACAGCAATGACAAAGGCACCCCAAGCTTGCCACTACTTATTGGGTTCATAGAAAGTATCAGATGCCTCAGAGGGTGACAGTAACCCTAAATTTATAAGGACACTATAATCAAAGGAATTATCAGATGACTTGGGGGGTAATGGTGATCCTAGGACCAAGAGGATCTTATGCTGATGAGGATCTTAGGTCAGTGAGGAGTTTAAACTGATTAGGGTGGTGGGATGAGCTAAACTGATAAGGAATTTGTCCCTCCCTCCCCAGGTAAAACCTTTCTACTCAGTTCCCAAAGAACAAGGATGTCTCCAATGATGTAATCGTGCCCTTGAGCATCACAGCATCGCAGGACTATCGAGGCCTCAGACAGCCCTAATCTTAATTTAATTTTGAAATGATTTTTTCCAATAATCATGCAGAATGGCTCCCAACAGCACATAACAAGGAAAGATGTGCCCTTTTTTATCTAGCAACATGGCAAAACTTAGAAGAAGCTCTGAACTCAAGTCTTTGTGAAAATCAAATCAAGAATGACTTACTGAACTATAGCTAACTTTCCTGCATAACAGCAATGTACACACATGCTTGTTTGGATACATTTGAGAATTCTTTCCCCCAGGGAAAAAAGGCACATGCACACACATATACAACAATATCACAAATATTTCAAGTTGCTTCAGAAAGGTTCTGAGCCTCCTGAGGCCTCAAAGAAACCTCAAGATTCACAGTTCTCAGGTGCGGACCCCATGCTCTAAACAGTACAGATGGACTGCAGCCAGATTCCCTTCCATTCCCATTAAAGAGCCTGCAGATCACCTGCTATCCATCATGATGAAGCAGATAGTCCGGGTTAGTCCGATTTGATCCAGATCTTCCTATAGATTTTCTAGTGCTTGGTTCCCTACCTCCCATTTCTTACTCTTCATCTTTCTTGTGCATTTAAGCAAGACATAGCTCCAGATCCTCCAGCAATTATCTAACCCCAAAAGGCTGGGATACTTTCCAATGTTCCTTGCAGATGTGGTGATACTGCTGATTGCCAGCCCACCCATCTGCAAGACTCTGTCCACTACTGTTCCTCCCACAGTAAGAGGTTCCTCCACAGGCCAGGTGAAGAGGGAAGCTATTATAATTCCTGCTAGGAGAGAGAATTTCTGCTTGGAGCAAAAGCTAGGGAAAGATCTGTGGACATAGGTGTGCTTCCTGTGCGATGCTACAGAATGTTCTTTTGCTAACAGTAGCTCAAAGGTGGCTGCTGATTTATTCTCTACTCAGTATCCATCTGGATTATACACAGATAGTCTTAGATAAGTGTTCTCTGCAATAAACTCTAAGAATAGTATCTCAACCTATTTGTTTCTGTGAAATTCATTGAGGCTTTGAAATTGTTTAATGTATCCAATCATGCCGTAGGTCTCCGTTCTGTGACTCCGTCCTTTCTACCAGGCAATTCCTCAGCTCCCCCTCATTCTGATTTTTTTTTTTTTTTTTTTTGTTTT